AGTCACAAACTCCTCCATGATCATTTCAGGCTGGACATAAGGAAGAACTTCTTTACTGTCTGAGCCCCCAAGGTCTGGAATAGACTGCCACCATAGATGGTTCAAGCCCCTACCTTGAACACCTTCAAGAGACATTTGGATGTTTATCTTGCTGGGATCCTACAATCCCTGGGGCAGGGGGCTGGACTCAATGATCTTCCAAGGGCCCTTCCAGCCCTAGTGTCTATGAATCTATGACTCCAAAGCTAGCAGTGGATAAGGGACATATAGTTCATCTGTTTTTCTTTAGAGACAGTCACACTAACTAACCAGCTACACAGAACAACAGGTGCTTAGTGTGCCAGTAGGCATTAAGTAGTAATGACTACCAGGATGTCCGTTATTAGTCCCCAAGCCGTTTGTTTAATGTCATAACGTTTGGTGCGACAGATGCAGAAACTCTATGGTGGGTGTGTCATGTACAACTTGATTTTTAGTACTGGAATAATGCAGAAATGCTTTTAAGGCCCAAATCTTTGTTTCTGGATTGCTTCCAATGAGTGTGTTTATATGTTCATTTGTGTTTAGATTGCAAGAACTGAACTTGTCCTGGTGTGACTTCACAGCTGATCATGTTCAAGCAGCAGTCAGTCAGATTTCTTCAAAAGTAACTCAGCTAAACCTCAGTGGATACAGGCAGAATCTACAGATATCAGGTAGCACTCAGAATTGGTGTTCCATGAAATGAATCCACTAGGCCCCAGTGAAGTATACCTAGGGTTACCAAACACTCACAGGGCTGTCACAAAGACTGCTAAACTAGCTGAACAATTTTCCTCCTCATTGGGCAACAATTAGCTTCTTGTTGATTCTTTGTATGGCTTCTAGTAATTTCCATGTGTTGGGCAGTAGTAATGATATATACAAGCTGTGTGTGCCTTGCCTCTCCTGCCGAGGCCTTCACCTTTTGCACCTGCTCAGTTACAATAGCTGAGAGAGACTCTCGACTGTTCCTGGATCTGAAAGTCTAGCTATTGAGTTACTTTTCTGTTAAAATACCTAGTACATGTTCTGAGAGATGGATTCAGTTCACCAGGTGTACTCATGTGACCTTCGCTATATACCCAGATTGTTACATCAGTTCATACTTGCAGATCTGGCACAATCGACTTTGCGGATGGCCTGAAACAATGTTTCAGAGAGAAACTTCCCTGCTTTGATAATTTTCCAAGGTTAATTGTCATCAATAACTATACACAGTACAGTCGCATTACGTGGGGGTTACGTTCTGAAGACAGCGCGTATAGCTGACATCACCGGGCTTCAGCGCCAAGCAGCCACCACTGCTGCAGGGCCCGGACTAAGCAGGCATGGCGCCACACAGCCCGTGCATGCAGTGCAACAGCTGTGCCTTCCGCATGCACTCCTTGCCCCTCTCGTCCTTCGCCACCTCGTCCCGTGTGAGCCCCCCAGCCACGCCGGTGTGTGCAGGCAGTACCGCATGGCACTGCACTACGTGCCATGCCCTGGCCGGCACCCAGCCCTAGCAGCCGAGCGCATATAGTTGAAATAGCTTAAGTTAAATATGCATAAGATGCGACTGTACTGTAATGGTTGATCTTTTGAAGCAGCTGGAGTGGGAGTTACAGCATAAAGGAAAGGAAATGCAAAGGCGACTGGGAGAGGGAGAGAAATAAATAGAGCCCAGAGAAGGAAAGGAAACTGAGGGTAGAACTAGCACTGGGTCTAAAAAGAAGCATATTTTTTCAACCAGGAAACAGGACAAGAAGGTGCCAAATAGCAACAGACAGTTTGGTTATTCCACCAGGCTGTACTTCACCCTTTCTCTCTGTATGCCTCCCACTGACTTCAGTGCATACTTCATTAAGAGGAAGATGCATCTCTGTCTACATATCCCTATCTACAATGAATCAACATGGAGCAAACTTCTCCAAATTAATAGGACACCCCTTCCCCTGAATTTAGGTTCTTGCCAAGTAAGAGGAGATGCAAAGGATTGATTGCAAAAGCAACAGTACTAAACTCTTACGCTTTCCAAGGAATTGGCTTGAAAGGGTGTGCTTTCGTTTGCACACTTAGTGTAAGAGCCTTTAGGCTGCTGATATCCATTCTGACTTGCGATTTGGTATCACAGAGGCCACAATTGGGAATCTGAGTTCTGGCATTCTGGGTGCTGAATTCAAATAATGGCAAGCTGATCCCTGTTGCAAAGAACTTACAGTTTGAAGGCAAACTAATAGCACTATTTGTAGACACGAAGGAAGAACTTAAAGCAGAAGTACAATTTCTAGATTTACATAGAAAAACCAGGAGCTATCCAAAAACCCAGGCACTGTGAAAATTAAAAGTGTACTGGAAATGTTGGAAAGAGCTGGGTGCAGAACTAGTTTTCACTTGCATGGTAAGTTCTTCCATATTAAAAGAAAAAAGTGACTAAATTTTAAAACTAAAACAAGAAAATTAGTTTGTTGATTATGCAAATGATACTTCAGGGACACTTCTTTGAACAAAATAGTTTTATTGGGGCTTCTGGGGAACCAAAACTTGTGCATTGAACAACATCACTGAATAGATTTTATATATTTCAAGTGCAGTAGAAATAATCTTTAAAACAGATGCAATTTTTTTTTTTTTTTTTAAACATATACTGATTCTTAGTGGAAAACAAGTAAATGAGATTGGATGTAGAAGCAACTAATTCAAACCACATGCAACTTTAAAAGTAGCTTTTGCTTGCAGGGAGAAGGTCTAACATTACTGAAAAGTGACTGGCTGATCGTTTCTGTCTGGCTTTTTTTCAGATGTTAAAACCTTGGTAGAAAGATGCCCTTATCTCGTTCACTTAGATTTAAGGTAAGAAACTGAGTGTAGCAAACTCTTTACCCCTTACAGGGCAGGGAAAGATTTTTGTTCCAGTGCAGTGCTGTAATTTTCTAGCCATAATTCATAACAACATGGCATGATGCAGTAAAGTACTGCATCTATTCTTAACTTAGCAAAACATCCTGCTTATGGAGAAGTAACCCCCTTGTCAGTTTCATAAGCGCTTTCTGGATGCTAGAAGAAAATGCTTCAAGTAGAAAATAAAGCTTCTGAAAAAAGCTTTTGGGAAAATAAATACTAGTTTAACAGATGTTTCTCATCCCAACCTGCACTTTTTTTCTCCCACTACAGTGACAGTGTAATGTTGAAACCTGAATGTTTTCAATATTTCCATCAACTCATCTATCTACAGCATCTGTCCCTTAGTCGATGTTATCAGATATCTCCAGCTGCCTTGTTGTAAGTAATGTCTTACAGTTTCAGCTAACATGTAAAATATACAATGTCTATCCAATATTTTTTCTCCAAGACCCTGAGCCTCTACAGTCTTAGCGGTTAAAAAACAGGAGGGGAAGATGGGCTTGGATCAGAAGCAGGGAGGAGGGAACAGAAACAAAAGAACCCGAGGACACACTCCCCCACCTGCGCTGGGCCAGACCCCATTTTTCCTGAGTCTAGCCCTTTTGTCAGCAGACATCTGTTAAAACCCAGGTGGCATGAATGTATCACCCCTTCTCTAACATGGATATAGATAGCAGGTGTAGGTTGTCATTATCTTTTAATTACTTACTTAACTCAAATGGAAATGGCCTGTGTTATGAGCTTGACTCATTTGCAGCCAGGGTGCCTAGTCCCTCTGCCAGAAGGTAAGCAATTGCTTTTCCTGTCTCTTGGCACCAAGCACCCCAGTTTCCCACAGACAGTATTCCACAGCAGTGCACATGGCTAGTCCCTGTGCTCCCAACAGCATGCTGTTGTGCATGCACATGAGCAGATAAGCAACTGTGGGCCATGCTCTTCAGCCTACCTTGTTCCCCATCCCTCCTCTCATGCTCAGCTGGACCAACAAGAGGAGCCACAAAGCACGTGGTTTTTGTTGCTGGTGTTCAAGTCCCCAGAGGAACAGTGCTTACCCTCCTTAGATACAGACCTGGGTCTGGGTGGGGGTAGATCATGGAAAAAGCAGGGCATGGAGGGGTGGGGGAAAGGGGGTAAAGTCCTGCTCTGCTTCCCCTCACCTGGCATGAGCTATATTCCAGGTCAGTGGTTCTAAATGTCAAAAAAATGATGGAGTATGTAGCAAGTGCTGGGCCCCAGGTGTGGCCATGATGCCCCCTGGTGGCCACACAGCTTCTACTTCATCCTGGCCCTCTGGGTAGCCTCTCCTTTTTCCCCCACACCTGCCATGCCTTGATGTAAATAATTTGGAAGAGGGAAGCCAGGGGTCCTGGAGCAGCCCTCTATCAGGCTGTGTTTTAACACACTAATCACCTTAAGGGGCCAGCAAAATTACCCCTTAAAAAGTAATTAGTGTGTTAGTCATAGCCATGCCTATGACTTACAGATGTTGTCATTCAATCACTCTCCCTTCACTGGGGCCTCAGCTCTGCCCTTTCCTTCTGGATGGGCATTTTAAACTAGGATCACTGTGCTGGACCTAGCTTCTACCCTGCTTCTGGGCAAAGAGTCTGCTTTTGGCCCAGTCTCTGCCCTGCTCTGGATACTGGGCCCTGTGGCCCAGGCTTCAGCTCTTTCACAGCTGCTATCTGTTAGTGCCTCAAGACTGGCCCCTGGCAGAGTTCAAACAGCCATGTGCCTCTTAAACACCTTGGGACCTCCTCTACCCCCAAACCACCAGTATAAGTAAGCTACAGCCAGTGGGCTTAGGTTTTCTATAACACAAACTAGCCCTGCATGGGGTTCAAACATAACCCCAGGTCACTGGCTGTACCACCAGGCTTCCCCCTACCCCATGCTGTATTCCTTGCGAGTCAGCAGCATTCTACCTGCATTACTCCTAGGACAATCCAGGTGTCAGCCAGGGGCTTCTCCGCAACCCTCCTGCCCCAGAGCTCTTTCCTCAGGAGCCTCCAGGCTAGACTGCCTACCTAGGCTCAGACTTGGGCTTGTACGTTCTCTAAGCCCTGCTCCCTTCTGGTCAGATGACTTCCCCAGACCTGCTGCAGGTGTGCCCTTTACCTTAATGGGCCACTTACTACCTAGGCAGCAGCATCTTCTTTCTGCCTTCCCTCTTACAGCTGGCCCCTGTTTAGCTGCCTGGGCTCTAGCTACTGCAGTTTTTCCCCTTAAAGTAACAGGAGCACTAAGCACCCCGTTACAGGCTAAAACAGTTGAAGCACTCATCTAAGAGTTCCAGCTCAAGCTGATAAATCCTGTGTTTAGGCTTATCCTGAGAGATCCTCTCTCTTCGTGATCTTTCCTTATTAAATCAAGCTCTCTCTTCTTACAGAAAATAGTTTGGTAACTAGGACAACACAGAGCAACATTCATAAATTATTACAGAGGTGCTCCAAAACAGTCACCTACACTATGATAGTAAGAGTCCTTTACAGTACTCCACAGCAATTTCAGATAAATTAAGGACAGAAGTATCCACTAATTTTGAAATGACCAGGACTTGTATTTTTCAGCACACTTGGCACTACCTGGAACTTTATATCTGCAAGTCTAGCTCTTCCTGATTTCCACTGAAGCTGCAAGTACTCAGTGCTTCTGCAGGTTAGGCTCCAGTGTCTTAAGCTAGGCATCCAGCAAATAATGGACCGTTTGGTGACTTCCCAGCCTTGTTTAAGAGGGATTGTTTGCCTGAATCCCATTTCTCCAGGAAGATATTCATCTGTCTTGACCATGACACCATCTTTTCTTCCTACAGATCTCTGTCTTATTCACTTATACACCTTACAGCTTCTAAGATAACAGCCTTGCAATGCCAATTCATCCCCTCAAACTGCCCTGTTCTGTGCACTGAATGATAACAGAGATAAAACTCTACAGAAGCGTCCAGACAAGCATGCATGTGCCTCTTGCAGCATCTCAAACCCCTTTGAGATGCTGTAAGAAGCACGTGCGGGAACAAACTGGAGGATTGGAGACAGAGCAGGAGAACAAGCAGGGGGCTGATGAGCAGGAGGCTGGAGATAAGCCCCTGGGGACAAGCTGGAGACTTCCCCTGCTGCCTCCAGCCTCCTGAGGGTGGAGATGAGCAGGAGAACAAGCAGGGGGAGGGGGCTGTAGCCCCTGGGGCAGGGGGGCTGGAACCATGCAGGCAGGGCAGTTCATGTGCTGTGTGGGGGTGTTCTGCCCTGTGGGGGGCAAGGAACCTACCCCTCCTAAGCAGCCCCCACACCATCCCCCTACAGCTACCCACACTGACCTGCATTCCTTTACACCCACGCACATCCCCCCCACTCCTGCAAACCCTACATCCCCCTCCCCCATCACATACCTGCCATGTGATAAACCAAAAGCAAACATTAAAACAGAGATATTTAGGATTTATTTTATTATGATGCTAGAGACACTGGTAGGATTTCAGATTGCTTTAACATTGTAAATATAGCGATAAAACATTGCCCATCTCATCAATCCCTCTCTCTCTCTCATTCTAATTGTGGAAGAACATGGATTTTGGGGTATTTAAAGAGTGAATTTGGGATGCTGCTTCAGCAGTTTAACCTGACACAAGGGGCTAGTGTCCCCAGATACCAAGTTGCTGGGCCTCAGAAGCTCCTGAGGACAAGCAGCCCTCAGCTGCTGGCCGAGGCAGGTTTTTATACTGCTGGGGCCAGCACAGGTGCCCCAAGTGGCACAATTTGCTCCACAACAAAATGCACATTGGGGTACATACTCTGAGGCAAAAAGCCCCAGCTCAAATTTGCACCACTTCTATTTGAGCTGCTGCAAGCGCACGTGCTTGCATGTGTGGACGCACCCTACTGGTGTAAATTACTCCAGTTCAGCTTTCATCTGTACGTGTCCATATCAGGGTAACCATTTGCTAAAGGCAAATAGGCTGTAACATGGTCTCCTAAAACCCTAAAGTAAGAGGAAGTAATAGCTACTTATTGTGAGAGCTGTCCCAGGTTCATTGCAGGTCTGCATTCCTGATCCCCTGTCACTTACCTCAGTATACCAAACCAATGCAAGGTTAATGAGTTTGGTCCAGAATTATAATAGTTATCCACCTGCCTCAAAGCATAATCTTGGGCCAGACCCTCCAATTAGCATGTATTCGGTAACACTGGAGCTACTACAGCTATTGAATCTGTCTCTTTAGAAATTTTCAACAGTTTTCCAAGATGCTCTGGTAGGTCTTCTAGAAGTTCCAAAAAGTACTGAAAAAAAAATCATTTACTGACTGGGGAAACATTTTCCTCCTACTTGTTTTGCTAATGAGTCAGCTATCTTGAGGTTGGTTCCATTTTTCTCTCAGAAGTACTGGGAAGATAGTACGGAAAAGCTGACCACAGACTAACTGCTCTGCAAATATTTGTTTACGTGCTCTTTCAGGAGGATCAGGTAACTTAGCTGAAGGAATTTAAGAACGAGCTGTTCCAACCTGCCATTTGCATGGTAGGAGGTGCATCTTTTGTGGAATATCCTTGTGACTGATTCACTATTTTATAGCACCATAAATTTGCTGAATGTGCATCAAAACAACAGGTATATTAAACACATTACCCTAGCGATAAATATAACAGGCACCAGAGGCCTATGAAAGGGGCTTTGCGAGCCTCTCACCCTTAAGAAATAAAATCCTTAAGCTATTTTCTAAACAGCACAACCAAGGCTCACATAAGGTCTTCAGTAAATTAAATGTTTTGTCCAATTCATTAGGTAGGAGCTTTAAAATATTGAATGCATAAGAAAATCCAGCTGCACTGTTGTCATGTTGTCATTAAAAGAGTTAGTGAAAGTGTCATTTAAGATCAAGTTGGGGTAAAAATGAGCAGTGTGCAAGATGAGTTTAATCTGTTTCTGAAGCTGGACTGTTCAAATGGGAATCCCAAGATCATTACCAGGGTGTAGTGGTGTGGCTCGCATTTTGTTTGCTCCTTATGATGATTGCATCTGCTGCCTGGTTGCATATTCAGGTACATTACTGTGTTTGTCCACATGCTACTGAAGCAGAGCAATGAAATAACCTGGTCTATATACCCAGCCAATGTCACAACACAGAGAGGTTAGATACTTTGCAATATCTTACCCAGTAATCTAGGGGAAATTCCTTCCACTGGTTCTGAATGTCTGTTTTAATAAAGTTCATTATTGCACTTAAGTTAAGAAGAAGAAACCAATCACCTTCTATTTTGGAAGTCACACTTCACACAGAAAATGGCCATAACCACCTAATCCAGCCATCCTCATCAGCTGCCAGTCTATGTGTATGAGGATCATGTAATAACCTGTCATATTTACCAAATGTTTTATTACACTTACATTTCTCTTTCTATTCAATGTGGCTGAGCAATTAAACTTTTAAAAATCAATTGAGAGATTAAATTTTCAATGAAGCTTACTTCTAAAATAAGCCGATTTTTTAAAATAAGAACAGACAGAGGTAATTTGAAATGCTATATATTCCAACTTCTCAGGCAGGAAGAATAAGACTAATAGATGAATGAGGCTAAGAGGTTTTAAACCACGTGGGCAGTCTACTAATCAGTTTGTTTTTTTTCTCTCTAGAGAACTTGGTGAAATTCCCACACTAAAGACTCTTCAAGTTTTTGGAATAGTGACTGACAATGCCCTGCAGCTCTTGAAGGAAACACTCCCCCACATAAAGATCAACTGTTCACATTTTACAACCATCGCAAGGCCAACTGTTGGCAGCAAAAAGAACCAAGAGATCTGGGGAATCAAATGCAGATTGACATTGAGAAATCCCAGTGGTTTGTGATGTACAGTTTGCAAGATATTTCCTTTGATTGATGCCAAGTGTGGGGCAGTTCATGGAGAATTCTGAACACTGAAGCACCACTCTCACTTTTTATAGCGTTTTTAACTTGGTGTTATGCCACAATTTAGTTTTATAAATATATTTTTACATTGTCTTTTTAACACCCATTAGTATTTCAAGATAGCTATCTATCTAATCAGGTATGAATTTTTGGAGGTTTAAAAGAAAAAAAGACAACACAGCCTTTTTTTTTTTTTAGTAAAGATTACTTTCAAAAGCAGTTTATACTTCCAATATAGACTGCTTTTGAAAACATGCTAAACATTATTAAAATAGAAATAGGTGATTTGCATTAAATAGAACAGGTGTTCTAGTTTTCTGCTAACATGCTTAAATTTTCAGAGTTATAATGTTGTTTCTTTGTTCAGAAAACCAGAAGCACCTTTTGACTGCCTCTGTCGCCTTTCCAAATATTGCTACTTCCTGTAAGAGACTGGCAATATTGAAAGCTGTTCCAGCTAATTGTTGTCAAAGAACTATTCTGCTTCATCATGATTCAATATATTCCTGACTTCCTTGTTTCAGTTTTTAGACCTCAGAAGGAATAAGGGTGTTAAATATTTGTGTTAGAAGCGCTGATGCTACCTATTACTGTGTTTTTATATGCTACTTTCACTGAGCCTCATGGCAGTAGAGGTCATGGGAAGGGAGATTCACACAAAAGCAACTCCGAGGCAGCTAAATACCACACAAGCTGTAGGCAGCAGAACAGAGCTATGGCAGACTTTTTCAGTAGATTATGGAAAGGATCCTCATCATTTCACAGCTGCTATTCTAAGGAGTTTAACTTGAAACCTTTTTACAGACTTGTTGCATATAAAACCAGCCCCTTCCCCCGTCAGTGGTTCTTGCTCTGTGCATCATCTGACTTACTGATTAAATGGCACACAAATGCAACATTATGTAACTTACCTGGTTCCTACAGGTTCCAAAAATCCAGACACGGGGAGCAGATCTCATCACTGGTAAGCTAGGTGGGAAAGTGCTTTTTATAATTGTTCTTCTCAAGGCCCCATAAAAGTAGGAAAAGCTGAGAAAAGGTGAAATGTACAGAACTACAATGTTCTTCAGTGCCAGGAAGGGGACCTGGGGATCTATAGGAAGTTAGTAGGACAGCAGGAGCCGTTCAGATCACCTGACTAGTATTTATATGAAGTAGTGTCAGGAGAAATAGGGAACCTGTTGTAGCCATATATGCTGCAGTGTAGGAGAGGAAGTAGCAATAGTGCTTAAGTTTCTAGGCCCTGCTTCCTGTAGTTTTAAACACCAAACCCTTTTTTTTTTTTTTTTTTTTTTTTTTTTTTTTTTTTTTACTGATAATCTGGAAACTTCCTACTGATTTGCTTTTACTGACATGTTTTACATAATGTAAATGTAACCCTTCTGTTAGGCCCTGGGCAAGGGTAGTGTTCAAATTTAGGGGTTTAACACCAACCATAA